ATAAGGATATCTCGATAGAGATGAAGATATGCAGATTTTACGAACAGGACTAAATGAAAGTAAGTAGTCAAATAAGATATACTAAAGATATACTTTTTGACCGCCATGACTCACTCGTTTTTAAACGAACAATTCTACATGTATAATTAATTGAGAAATTTGAAAAACTAACGTACGTATTCCTCGATGAATAAAGGAGCTGAACCAAAAGTTTCTAAAATTAAGAAGACAAATACTAGACAAAGTATTTGTTTACCTGCTGGTCATGAAAATTAAATATTGTAGTTTGAGTATCTTGTATTTCTCAACTTCCCACAAACATATAAAAACTTGCAGTCTGTACGTAACAATAAATCTGAAAATTTAGCAAACTTTGAAGAACTAACGACGTACATGAATCTAAGTTAGATCAAGTTCCTCGAAGGGAGCACAGCCAGATGACCTATATAGCGAGGTCTGGGTTAGCTCTTCAAGGCATTCTGACCGAGTGAATCTAGTATGCGCGGTATCGGGTAGCCGAACACAATATCGGCAACAAGACCACGAACAAGGAAGGCTTTCTCCGTTGACCTTGGGGTCCAGCTAAAGCCCCGGAGCTATGTGAACTTGAACCAGTTTTGTGTTCTTTCCTCACGTCCATCGATGCCCATCGGTTTGTTACTTTCTTTCAAAGTCGATGATTCTCCGGACAATTACGCAGCCGTGTCCATTAATGCTCCTCCTTTTAACGAGAAATCGATCGAGGTTGTTGTGATTATATAATCCGAACTCGATATTAGATCTGGACTTTCTGGGACAGACAGGATTCATGCTCGCGTGAACCAATTGTCGACCAAGGTCGATCTTTCCGCCAAAACCATGTTCTTAAGCAGCTGGCGGAGACTCGCGAATTGATTGAAACAACGTAATATAGAAAGTGTAGCTTGGATGCGGTGAAAGTCTGGCCTCAGCCACGCGTTACACAAACTGATCTCTGACTGATTGGAAGATGGTTAGATTGCAATTACAAACGATCTTGGTGAAATTACGGTCTTTAAAGCGTGTTGGAACGAATGAATGGAATTAATTTGATTTTGAAATCTACATACGCTATTTCGTTGCGTTCATTTGAAAATTCTAACAATTTGCACCGTTTTAGTGTTTTGTATCGTAAAGGGAGATATCGTGGTTGCAAAAGATATTATTTATTTTAAGAACAGTAACAAAAATGTAGGAAAGAATTTTTCGAAAGAACTGATATCTTTTTTTGAGGAAGGCTAGAGTCGACGAAGATTTATTAAAATAGCTAGACATCGAAAAGACGAAGTGTATCGGTTGAAAGTGAACAGGCACGCAGAGATATTCTCTAAATAGACCGAGAACATGAGGACCTCCTTCGAGCGTAAACCGACCTTGCTGTCGCATCCAACTGTTTCTCTTTGTCCCAGACATTTTAATTATAGAATTATTTTTGTTCCCGTTCTCTCGTTTTCTCCTCCTTTCCATTCCCGATCCATTGCGTGTCAATTTTTTTTCACAATGTTATGAATTTGAAATAGATGCAGAAGAGATACAGGGGGTAGAAAGGTATACAGAATTCATATTCAGAATACTTCAAATCTCCATCTACTTTCTATTTCTTTATTCGACTTGATAGAAACGACTTAACACGAATTTATATAAAATTGTTTTAAACAATACTGGTTTATTCTTTGCTAAATGAATCGCTTATGCCTAAAAGTTTCATCGTAAAAAAGAAAAAAAATCTCTTGTTATTTATACCCGATTACTCCACATACAGACCGTATATTCCCCTACGTATTTATCTCCGAATTTTCCTCGGCAGCCATCCTTTTCCATCTATTTCACTTTCGTCAAATCAACTCTCCCCTTTTCTTTATCATTATCTATTATTTCCTCCGCTCTTCTCCTCTCCACTCCTCTCTTTACTCCCTCTTTCGAAATATCTGCACGTCATCTCTATCTCGTCAAGCCGAGCTCTTTCTCTCTCGCTGCTAGTCTGCCCCATTCGTTGCTCCTCTATTCTAACTCATGCGTGCTATAACGCGTCTTGTCCCTAACCTAATCCAACGAGAGTCGTGCTGAGCCACACCACGGACTACAGCCAGTCGCGCACTACATTCAGACCGGTTTGATGATTCAGGTTCATCTAGATCTAAACAACTACGACCTCAGCCACGTAATACATTGATCGCGAAACTCGCGGCCAGCCTCCACACGTGGAGGTTACCCTCTGTGAGAATAGTCATGCGAATGGGTCGCATTATGCGCACTCTGCAAGAACAGAATCCTCTGGAAGAATGTCGACTCGTATATATAAATATACGCTGCCCGACGTCATAAATATGTAGATTTCGAGCAGCGTGATTTTGCGGCATACAATTTTGCGAAATAAACTCTTGTAATGAACGTTATTTTTTTTTTTTTTTTTGCGTGATATGTAATGGAGAGAGATATTGTCGAGGTATCTTTTCTTTTTGTTCGTGGGGTTGACGGAGAGGAGAGAGAAGAAAAGAGATTGCAACACAACTCAAGATAAAGAACCCTCGTTTGTCTGGACGATTATGTGCGCCGAATGGGTGAAGGCAAACATTTTTTAAAAGTTGAAAACGCATTTGACTCTCAAAAGCTTTTCGAGAAACTTGTAGGTCTTCGGTTCAACTGAATTTACGAAAGATCTCTTTTGAAAAAAAAAAAAAAAAAAACGAAGTAATGATTCGTTCATTTAGATATTACAAACACGATCCGTTGCATTGTAAGCCGATAGATACTGTTCACTAGTAATCTACTTGTGCTATCGGAAATTGAACTGATCGATATTTAGAAACTTATCTTACATCTAAACTTCTACTTATCAGTTACAGACCGATTTATTACGATAAATCGATCAAAGGAGAAAATTTAAGCACAACGACAAGTCTGTGCTGTCTGTGAATAAATTACTAGCACTGTTCGGACTAAATTTTTGTAATTCTAATTACTCGAATTATTTTGTGCTTAAAAGACGTTGGATTTCTTATCCATGCAAAAGAATTTATTATTCTATTTATAATTAGATATAGTTAAATAAAGGTAATGGTTCGCTCGTTTTTTCGTGCTGGCAAGAAGTAACTAACATCTGCCATTTCTATCGCTACTATTATGATTGCTCATTGTTTTCATCCGCGTATCTGTTATGTTTAATGTCTTTTAGGAACAGTTGGCATCTATCATCCTATCGATGTTTAATTCCACCGTTTTTAGAGGAATTATGTTAAGGCTCGAAACTTCAAAGTGATTGGCCAGCACTCGCCATCACATTTGTATAAAGTAGGCTTGCCGTTAGCTTTAGGGGAAATTAGTGTGAGAAAGATTGACGACGGAAAGTGCGACGTGCCGATCAGTGTGATATTCAATTACAGGTAAGTGGGGCAATCTTTTGCAATTATACAGTGCACTTATTACGATCTCCGATCTCTTATCGGAATCGTTCGATTCCGTTTCATCTTACTATACTTCACCCACACGGTCGTTATTCGCCTGGAAATTCACGCGAATTCTGGACCCGAACCGCATTCATATTACTTCGTCCATCGAGTCGCAACGAAATTATTTAAAATGGTGAAATTGAAAAATAATTGTAAAAATACAATTTCCAGCTAACTTACAAAATTAACATTTTTCGTCTCATTCTGTTCGTCGAAGGAATAAAAAAAAAGTCTAACGTAGAAATCCCTTACCTCTTTAAGTATAGCGTGACGAACAAAAGAATTAAGGTTACAAAGCGGACAAATGAATACAATTAATCGTTGAAGCTATTCTTCGCCGACGTATTTAGCTACGAGAAAAGTTCGTCGTGAACTGTGTAAGCAGCGCCGAGGACAAAGGCTATAACCCGTATATCCCTTCGTCGTATGTTATTCTATTAAACCCGAAAATTCAGTGTTCTAGGACATTCAGGGGCAATGGAACGTACGCATTGCGGGGACGAGTGTTAGCCTGAAATTCTCGACAAGGGAGACCTTGACCTTCGCTAGACGACCTACAACGCCCGCTTCGTTCTATCGTCTAGGGGGATCCTTGGACGAAATTCAGAAGGGTTTAATGTCTACGCTATTATACTTATTATAATCCATTCTTCCGCGTCTCGATACGACCCGGGGAGGGGACCACTCGACAAACCAGATGAACGTGCTTCAAAATCTGTTTGTACAATCTCAAATAGAACGTACAGATAATAACGTGTACCAACATGCAAGTTTTACAAATTTCTCAGAAAGTATAAATGTAGATGAACTTCGGAATATCAAATTATTCAATTTCAATAGATGAAAATTAATTCTTTCGTCCTTTCGATAAACCTGTAAAAATGTCCCCGTGACATTCATAATGTTTTCGCTGATTCGATACTTTCGTAACGAAAATACCTTTGTCGAGTCTGACGAAATACCAGAATGCATCATTTCACAGAAATTTTCAAGAACGCTAAAAAACAACTAACCCAGGCTATCATGAAACTCTTGCACGGTGCTTTCTCAAAACAGAATCATCTCAGTTTAACGGAACTACGGATGCAGAAGCTGCCGAATTAAAAGAGTCGTATGTCGATGGCGAGGCGACTTGTGAAAACAACAATCGAGAGAGAAAGAGCCACGTTGATCCGGGAGTACTCACGGCTAGGTACGCCATTGCACCGAGATAGATGGACGGTTAGAGCGAGTGCGTCGAAGCGGGATGCGGGGGCTGATCGATAAAAGCGGCAGTCGGGTTCACGAGCCTCATTCAAGGACAAGGCCATGTGATAGCGGCCGCGCAACCGCGGTCGCGCACTCAGCCACCCCTGCCTATCGGCTGGTCGTTTATGTCAGGCTTGTCGCTACACTGTGCAAAGCCCTGCTCATATTCTCTATAAACGATGCCAGAAATTAACGTCGGATTATGCGAAATTCTTCCTTCGACATCGCGCACGTCAGCTACTTGTTACCATCGTTATTTGACATTATTTGTAAACATAATGAATACAGTACTACGGGCGTTAAAAGCTTTTGCAAATTAAAAGAGTATTCTATGTGAAATTCTTTGCACAAATTTTTAACTTTTTTTGAAAATTACTTCTATGATAATAACTTTGAGAAGGGAATGATTGTAGCTTACAGATAGTTGTTAACATCAGAAACGTTGCAATTATCTAATTACGTTAGATATTTTTCGAGAAAGTTTACATCAATCGTGAGAACTTAAAATGTTGAGACGTACTCGAATACATGCAACTATACGATACTACAGCAAAGACAAGCGTGTCCCAACATTGCGAGCAATCGTCTCCCTCGATTGCGCAGCACGCACACGCGCCTAGGTCAACCGTGAGTGCTGCGACTGGCTCTGTCTGCCTCTTTGCAACCCTTGCTACTCCATTAACGCAAGTCCGTTTGCACTTATAGCTGGCACGCATCGAATACGATCTTATACATGTACGAAAATTGTCTTTGTAGTTGCGTTGTATCGTAATTGCGGACATATTTGACGGACCGTTTACTCGCGTTACTTGTTTACTACGACACACTTGTCATGTCGGGAATCTGTGTCTTCTCGCACGAACGTAATTCGTAAACGCTCTTTACATAATTCGCGCGCTATGTTTGCGCATGCGCCGTGTAACTCGTCCCAGCGAACGCGCGCGCGCGAAAGAAATTCGAGAGGGTAAGCGCAATGGAAGGTTCGGTCATCTGCTTCCGGTTGAGAGAACCTCTGTCCAATCAAACCGAGAAAACGGAGAAAGAGAGAAAGAGAGAGAGAGAGAGAGA